GTTCTATTTTGGTTTCATCTGACCATATGACATTCTCCCAATCCTCTTCTGGATCATCTAAATGCTCTCTAGCAAACTTCAGACGGGCCTGGACATGTACTGGCTTAAGCAGGGGGACACGTCTGGCACTGCAGGATTTGAGTCCCTGGCGGCGTAGTGTGTTACTGATGGTAGCCTTTGTTACTTTGGTCCCAGCTCTCTGCAGGTCATTGACTAGGTCCCCCCGTGTGGTTCTGGGATTTTTGCTCACCGTTCTTGTGATCATTTTGACCCCACGGGGTGAGATCTTGCGTGGAGCCCCAGATCGAGGGAGATTATCAGTGGCCTTGTATGTCTTCCATTTTCTAATAATTGCTCCCACAGTTGATTTCTTCACACCAAGCTGCTTACCTATTGCAGATTCAGTCTTCCCAGCCTGGTGCAGGTCTACAATTTTGTTTCTGGTGTCCTTTGACAGCTCTTTGGTCTTGGCCATAGTGGAGTTTGGAGTGTGACTGTTTGAGGTTGTGGACAGGTGTCTTTTATACTGATAACGAGTTCAAACAGGTGCCATTAATACAGTTAACAAGTGGAGGACAGAGGAGGCTCTTAAAGAAGAAGTTACAGGTCTGTGAGAGCCAGAAATCTTGTTTGTTTGCCAATTCATTCATTAAAAATCCTACAATGTGATTTCCTGTATTCTTTCCCCCCATTCTGTCTCTCATAGTTGAAGTGTACCTAGGATGAAAATTACAGGCCTCTCACATCTTTTTAAGTGGGAGAACTTGCACAATTGGTGGCTGACTAAATACTTTTTTTGCCCCACTGTATATTAAATAAGTTCACCTCAACTGAGTTGGAAAGGTTGGTTTATCAATGAATGCAAAAGGCCACAAAGTGCTATGCAAAACAGATGTATCGCAAAACTTTGACAATAATTAGCCATCCACAAATGTAATTCAAATTAAGATGGGCATGCTACAAGGTAGGAGTGGGACACATTTTATTAAACAGCACCTTTTGTTTTGAATATCAAGGTATCAACAGCTAATAAAAAATAATGCGTACTCATCTGACATGACTATGTTGATATAATAGTTATCATTTGAGTAATTTAATGCCAAAAATAGCTTGTTACATTAATGTTGGGTTGTTTTTCTATGTCATGATATTAAATAGAATATCTTCAGGTTTGGACAACCAATTAAACAATACAAACAATATAAATATATCAGTTTGGGAAATGTGATTGGAAATGTACCGTACAGCTTTGTGATATTTAATATATTCCACAAATAATCAAACAAGCCAAATAGAAAAATAAATGTTGGGAATACACAATTTGAAATACAGCCAGCCATGTGCATAAATCAAACAAGTTTACAGTTCATGTATTGTACTTAGAGTGTGGAAGAATAGTTTGTACCAACAAGGGAATGCAAAAATTAAGGTTTAACACACAGGAAATTACCCGTACCACTTACAGGGGAGACCTACTCTTTTTTTTCAAGATAATGTTTTGCCTTCTTTTTATATTATAGCCAAAGATAGACAGGGAAGGGAAAGGAGAAAGAGATAATAACATGCAGCAAAGGGTGAGTACATGTCCTTGCGCTACAATTTTAGCTAACAACAGGTTCCCATTCTAATAGCCTAGCATAAGATATAATAAGTTAACATACATTAGTTGATACCTATAGTCAACATTAGGGTATTTAGTCATGGTTATGACATAAATAAATGCCAATAAATAGATAAAACATCTTTCAATATAGTGCATTTGTATTATTATGAGGTAGCTACCGTATATCATTTATAATAATCTTGTATTTGAAGACATTATTGTCCATTCAAGAAAATGTGTTTTGGATTAGGGCACCAAAAAAAAGAGAAACAGTGCACAATATTGAAGTCTGATGGAGAAAAAATACATAAGTCAGTAATTACAGAACCTAACCTTATAACGGATACATGCAAATTAAGAATGACATGACAGGCATGACTGTATTTCATGTGTTCTCATTACCTCCGGCTGACACGGGGTTGGTAATTTTGCGACGGTCCCTGGCGGCAGACATCACGGCTCGTTCAGCCCGGGGGGAGGAGGGATGGAGCTGAGATGGACAGGGAGGAGGGAGACACCGGCTTACGACGTCAAATAAGTACACACACACATACACACACTCACACAGCGAGCGGGAGAAGAGAGGACAGCCGACCTGACTGCCAATTCCCCACGGTCTACTGAAGGGAGCCTCAATTCATCATTCACAACACTCTTGATTCAGCAGAGACGGACATTTGTTTATTTTTACGTCAGATTTATTTGGAAGGGGAAAAAAACACGGAGCATCTGTCAGGGAAAAAACAACAAGCAGATCTGGAAAAAGACGCTCATGCCGAATAAAGGACCGTCGCTGGATGTTACTTGTGTTGTTATAAGGGGGGTACAGGCCTAACTTGTTACAGGATTCAAAGACGCTCGTACAGACAAATGAACTGAATTATTGAGATTCAATAACTAAATAACAGCGGGGGGGACGAAGAAAAACATCCACGGATCACACCGAGTCTTTGCCACGAACAGCACCACAGGTATGGTTTTTATTTCTTGAAACTATTTGTTGTGTTTCGTTTTGAGTGAAATGTGTAAAATCATGTTCGGGTCATTGTTGTTGTAACCCGTGTCTCGACAAAGAGAGCGCAGGTCTCCAGCTGTGATGACAGACACTGTCATGTTTCTCTTGGGGCTTATATAGGCGGCCTAGACAGAATATCAGTGCACTGTGTACTATTATTTACTACGATATCACATGTATTTATATTCATGGCTATGTCAGGCAAACATAGCTCTTTACCATCAATCATGATTATTGATCCCTAATGTCCATCTACTTCCAAGAATATGAAAGTTATGAGATTATAATTTAATTTTTTGTTATTTAGATGCTTTTATTTTGTATTTAATGCCAACAACAAACAAAGTAGTTGCTTCAGCTGGTCAAATAGTATCATAAACGATGTGTAGTTGCAATAAATGACTACATAAATGATACTTACAATTTAAAAATCATAGTCAACAGAGAGATTATAGAGTCTTTATGATACTTAGTGAGATGTTAATCAATTTACATGATTATCTTAGACTATAATATAATGTTATGTTTCCATTGTGATAATAATGTTTAAAACTCCCAAAATGTAAGAGCACATATGGACTACAGGGTGTAGAAACTGTTATTACAGCCCCCCCCCCCCC